TATTGATTAATAATTGTAAAAAGTGACTTTAATATTTTGATAACATTCGGATTACACTGAATATTTCAAAGAAATTCACTTTCGACGTGAACCTATTTTATTAAAATGATTATTTAATTGTATTTAAGTAGAACTGCGATTAAAATTTATTTTTCGCTGAATTTTTTCGTTAGTATAGTAATTACAAGCAGACAATGAAACTAGCTTCACGAAGTGGATAAAGTGTATGCTCTATTTATAATTAATAACCGTAACTGAGGGAAGTTGGTAATGATGTTGACGATACTAAACGCTCATCTATAACACGAAACATTCTGTCGGTGTTAGAAAAGAAGTCACGAAAATCCTCTCAGTAGCTGTAGAAAGTCCATTAATGATTATGACGGATCGAGAAAAGTGTTAGGTGTGAAGTTGACATCGTAGGGTCACCCACGCTAATGTTTGTATATAAGGTGACTTTCGTCTATTTCCTTCATAACCTGTTTTCGTATAAAATGACTTTTATCTCATCCCAGGAAGCTCGGTAGCTTAATATTACTTTCGGTTATGTTCAACGATCACGATATAACGAATCCATCTTTAGAAATTGTATGAGATTCTCTTCCTATTGAATCTATTCTTATAAGTTTTTCCCTATTCTTAAACATTGTGTCATTGTTATTGTTACTGTTGTTTAATGGCTTAATATCTGCCAGTTCTTATAGAGTTAGAAGAGTTTTAAAAATCCCAAAAATTTCATTTTAAAATACAAAATGTTTATAATTTTCAGTAAAATAAGTTCAGATGTGTCGAAGGTTCTAAAAATATTAAAAACTTTATACTTTATCGAGTATTTATATTGTTATGAGGCCTTGAACACTCTTCCACTCTTCCATTAGGCGTAATAAACCTCCAAAATATTAACTTTAACTATTAAAATATGTTAAATTAAAGTAAAAAATTATATATTTTTCCTCCATTTTCGTAAGAAATATCTCTTAAAGTGGTTCTAATTTAAAAAATAAAAAGGAAATTAATTTACTACAACTCTGACGTCATTAATGAGTTCGATCAATGTGGTGACGTAAGAATTGAGGTTTTTGATAAGAATCTATTGTGATAATGTATAAAAAGAAAGCGTGAACAATACTAAGACAGATAAATCGATAAAAAATTAAGACAATTTTCAAGTTAATCCAATTTGAAAATAAAGAAAAAATATCGTTTGATTAGGAAGAAAATGATAATAGAATAGTAAATTACAAGTCAGGAAAGAATAAAGTTAATGGGCATAGAGTTGTAAGGTCACTGTTCAACTAGATAGGTATCTATGTTTAGTCTACGATTCTAAGGGTCGATGATCCATGGATCTTTACTGGAATATTGATGTCGCCATTCTGAGCCACTCGAGCCATAAAGGTGACTCGTCTTCTATATTTAAGTATCTCGACATCTGTTTCGGTCCACGAGGATTTTTTTCATGGGGATTTTCTTTTTATGTTTACGATATCAATTTTCCACGAAAAATTGTAAACAGAGCTGAACTTTATAGATTTTTATCTCTTTTTATTCCGAAGAAAATAATGCAAACAATCCATAATTTCACAAACAAAACAAATATGTATATGCATATATGGGTCGAATTGATGTAATCGTATCATGAAGCGAAAATTAAGGTTCCATCTGACACTTAGTACTGAATTGTAAACTGTGAGAGTTTCAACAAAAACCTCGTAGGTTGTCAGATCAGGTCAGTCAGATAGGGACAATTTCAAGGCAGATTATCAGTCGTGCTGTCGTTCCTCCCATATTTTGTCGTGACTCGCTTGTCTGTCTAGCATGCTTTGTGTAAGTGTCATCGGTTCTTATTAAATTGCAACGAGAAATTAATCAAAATAAGACGAAAGAATTATGTGATGATGCTAAGAAATGCGTTTTTAACCTTATTTTCTTGGTGAATGTCTGAGAAAATGAAGTTGCACACGCTTTCTACGCATGATTTATTTGCGATTTTTTTTTTAAAGTTCCGTTAATTTTCGAAATTTATTCGTTAATCGAGAATTTGAAATTTGAAATTGATACGTTTAACCGAAATTAAATTTAAAATTTTGAAAATTTAAATTTGTATGTGAGTGAGTTACAAGTATATAGAATAGAAAGTAAGATGTATAACAAAAAAAGAAGCTTTAACAAAGCTTAATATGCCGAAGAAGAAAGTATCATAGACTTAATATCACGATCAAGTATAGTAAAGAACCCAAATGGGTGTTAGAAACAATAGAAAATAGCAATCTAGGAACAAAAGGTTTTAGCTTTCAAGAGGGGGACTTTTTACGATAAGAAAAATTGTATATAATATTTCAATCTGTCCATTATGATGAGCAAAGCAGACAAACAGTAAAATGACAGAACGAACAATAGAATAGAGGAGAATCTTTCTCTTCAGTTGTCAGAATGAAAAAACCCGAGACAATTCTGTACCCGTTTGCTCAGTTTAAAATAACAGATTCACTAATTTGTCAATCATTAAAAAATTTTGTAAATATGTCAACGATTCGTGTCATAATACAAAACTCCATTCTTTCTTCTTCTCATCAGCATCCTTAATGATCTCAATTCTTTTACTATTCATCTTGTTCTTGTTGACATAACACAAAAATGCATTTTTTAAGGAATAATATATGAAGTTGTCTATCCAATATAGATATTTTACCGTGTACAACTGGATAGAAAGTTGTTGTATGCCTTTTTTCGATCCGATCGATACACGTATAGTTATTGTAACAACAATAGAAAAGCCAGGAACAATGCTATTATCTGCTATTAGCTTCGAGAAAATGTCCAGATGCTTAGATCAATGACCTGTACGTTAAAGAATACAAACGATTTCTTCGTCTGTGCAATGTAAGGGTATCTGTACGTTTAAATCTTTAGGTAAAGGTCCAGGTCAAGTCCAAATTGACGAAAATTTTCTTTTCAAACTAGAAATTCAAGACGGTTAAACGGGGTGTTCCTAGAAATTTAGTCTTTAACCACTTGATTATAGAAGTGGTTTGGGGTTTTCATTAGTGCATAACTTTTCTTCCTTTTTGTGCTTTTGTAACTTTACTACTCAAGCATCCACTCATCGAAATTCTATAGAATTATTTCTACGACTTGACCTTTAAGAAAGATCTAAAGACAACGTGAATAAAATTAAAACTTTCGTTTAAAAACAATGAAAAAAATCTATTTTTGTCTTGTACAGATGAGATAAAACTGGGGCCTTAGATATATTCTCAAGGTTAAATCCACAGATCTGGATAAATTTATTGGTCATTCCCCTTAAACATCGTTTTTAAAGTATCTTTCTGAGCCTCTCCTATCTGTAAAATGCGCTGCAAGAATGTCTAAAACTAGATATTACCTATTTCTAGTGCTTAATAAAGCTATGGCGTTTGTTATATATAATTTTAAACATTAAGATAATGTCTAAGAATCGTTTTAAAGTTATAAAAATAATCTAAATAGAGCAATTTTCATTAAAAATTATATATAAATATCTAATAGAGTAATTATGTGGAGAGAGGGCACAACAAGGTCAGAAAATGGTGATGCAAATCTCACGCCCTTCTTATAATGCAGTGCCACGACGATTTATAAGTTTATTGATAAATTACAAGTAGAAAAAATGGGATTATAGATGAAGACAATCGTAAGTGCTTCTTCTTCAGTTCCGTCAGTACACGTCCTAGATTCCTTTGATGGTAGTAATGTGTCGACTTATGGTGAAGTTGGTTGTTTATGACAATCAGATTGCATCTCGAATAAACTTAATCGCTTAACTAGAAAAGATTCACTTTCTTTGTCTACGATTCAGTAATGTGTAACTGGAATGCCCATTTTTCTGACCCAGTAGAGGACATTTGCTTGATCCTTTGTTACCGTACGAAGGTTCATAGAGTCATTAGTAATCGATGATGTTAAGAGTTATCTGTTCAATAATATAATAAAAAATTTGACCTTAATTGTTCTATTTTGGTTAAGGAAAATGGAAAGGAACAAAATCGATTCATATATGTCCTAAATTTTTGATTTATTCATCAAAAAAATTTTGAATTAAATACATCTCAAGGTTGAGGAAAATAAAAACATGTTGACTTTTACAAGAGCTACAAAAGAATTGACTTGAATTATTTCAAAGTTTTGTTTGAATTCTTTTTTAAAAATAGATTTAAACATTTTTTATATAAATTATTTTTAAAACAATTTATACATTAGTCTTCTTTAAGTAATTTAAGAGAGAAATGCATCCGGATCTAATTATGTCCTTAACTGTATATGATTGGAGTGGATGAGGAAAAAGGGAAGAGATGTAAAAGCGAATTTTGTTATAACTGGTTTCGAGTATTTTTCTTTTATTTTGTTTTTGTTTTTCAATAAATAAAACGTTTTGCAATTTGTAGTGCAAAACGGGTCATATCGTCAGTTAGTAATATCAACAATAATCGTTTTCAATGAGAGATCGCCTCTATACCCTGAAGCGTTATAATTTTTTCAAAATTTCACAATCGCCGCTGTAAACGATGAATTGGAAAAAAATGTGGTCCTAATATTCAATTCTTATAGCGTGATATCAGAGAAAAACGAATTACGATTTGTCACGGTTAATGTCGTCACGAATACTTCATCACGATGCCGTCTAAGACTTCAGGAACGTCCAGCCTATCAGAAGAAAGTGCATCCTTTTTTCCATTTCTAAGACCTAGTTTTAGTTCAGGAAGGAAAAAATTATCATCCTATCCTTGAGGTTGATACCGGTGGCCTAAAGTGAACGTGCTGCTGACGTCACGGCTCATCCTCCCTGATTGAAACCCCCCTGTTGGCACGATTTCCTCAGGACACCAGGTTCGCCACGCTGCAGGCTAAAGTGAAAAGATGACACCATTGGAGAGATCTGGCCTCTTACTGGCCACCTCTGGTATATATAGTGGGTCCGATCACTTCGGACACATCACTCGTTTCAAACCTTACTGTAGAAAATGTTAAAGGTAAGTAAATGCTCCAGTTGCAAAATATATTCAGTCTATGAAAAATATTCTTCGAGTTTTAAAAATTTTTCCACGGGTGTTTCTTACTTCGAAATTTTGTTTTTGGAATAGTTTTGTTCATAATAACAATCTTTAGTTTTATTTTTTTTAAAATATTTTTCAGGTATTCGCTGTTATCGTTCTCCTCGTCCTCCCTACTTGGATCGATGCAGGTGGACCCGGCGGAGGAGGGGGATACGGAGGCGGTAGAGGAGGTGGAGGCTTTGGTGGTGGTGGTGGCCCAGGTGGCTATTCTGGAGGTGGTAAAAGAGGCGGAGGCGGAGGAGGTGGTGCCGGAGGATATGGTGGTGGAGGAAGAGGAAGCTTTGGTGGCCAGGGAGGTTACAGTGGTGGCGGACAAGCCACTGGATTCGGTGGCGGACAAGGAGGTTACGGTGGAGGAGGAAGAGGTGGCGGCGGCGGTGGAGCTGGAGGATACGGAGGAGGTGGTAGAGGCGGTGGTGCCGGAGGATACGGAGGCGGAGGAGCTGGAGGATTCGGAGGTGGTGGTGCTGGAGGATACGGAGGTGGTGGTGCTGGAGGATATGGAGGAGGAAGAGGCGGAGGTGACGATGTAAGTTTATTAATTTCGCAATCATATAAGTGACGATTTCTTTAGTATCCTTTAGAATCTTAAATATTTTTAATTTCAGTTTCCACCCCAACCTTACCAGTTCGGTTACGACGTTAAAGATGAATTTGGAAACACTCATTACCGTCAAGAACAAGGCGATGAATCCGGAGCCGTTAAAGGATCATATGGCTACACTGATGCAAATGGTGTCTACAGGCATGTTGAATACCGTGCAGATGCTAATGGTTTTACNAAAATTATATTCTTAATTTAATTATTTATTAAATTAACATTAAATACTTTATTATATTATTTTTTAAGTGTGTTTTAGGCTTATTTTAATTTTTTTAAGAGTTTTATGTCTAACAGATTTTTATGTTACCAAATTTTTCTAAATTGATTCTTTTAAATGCTTAAAATTCATTGAATTCCTGTGTATCCAACGTGCTCCAAATATTTTAGATGCCAATCAAACTATAATATGATAAATTAATTATTAAAATATCTTTAAAATGGTAAATAACATTTAAAAACTACTTAATTTTATTTTATTTAACCACATCAAGGTCATTAAATTCATCTTATTCATCTTATTCATTACCAAATGCTAGAAGAGCAGTTGCAGTGAATTAGAAGTTCCTATATTAAAAGCTGTTTTATGAAAGAATTAACGGTAATAATTTAATAAAATATATGAAATTAATTTCCAAGATTATTAATATTTTACACATAAAATTATCTAAGGTATTGGCAATCGTATCTAACGAAAATATCAACTGGTTATTGAGGTCTGTTGCATAATCATTCAGATTGTGCTTTATGAAAATTCGTTAAAAAAAAAGCAACCTGAAATTTCAAAGTTATCCAATTATTTAGGTTATTCCACCCTTTCTGTTTAAGTATAACCTTTAACGAGGAATTTCACAAAATATATGCATGTCTCTAAGGCGTATTGGAATTTTTTACACACGTGCCAATCGACCTCACCCAAAAGGAATCGGTTAATGAAAAAATGACCTTTATACCTACTTTAACCAATTTTAAATGCGGTCCAGAAGTATATAAGGACCTGGCACTAAATGAAAAGTCACTTTCACATTCAATCCAATTACAAAATGTTGTGCAAGGTAAGTTGATCTAGAAGCAATTATATTGGATTATAATGTAAATACGCTATCGTATACCGTTCTCTGAACTAGTTTACTGCATTTACAGCTTGCTTTGCTGTTCGCTGTTGCCGGTATTGCTATTGCAAGGCCGCCAAAAAGGTTCCCAGGACCTTACTACGATGATGGCCCCTACGGTCCAGTCAAAGAAGTAAGTAGAGAATCGAGGATTTCCTAATATTATTTCTGTTATGAGGATCTTCAAAGTAGTTACATCGATGAAAAACTATACATAATTCATTCCTACCTTTACAGTACCGTGCACCCAAGCCTTACGATTTCGGATACGAAACCAAGGACGAATTTGGCGCCACCCAAAACCGACAGGAAAGCAGCGATGGTGTAGGAGTCAAGGGTAGGACACGTCAGGCCATTCAGAAAATACGGTCCAAGACCATTTAAAAAATATTATTATTAAGTATTAAATAATTTATAAGTCGGTCAGTACAATACATGATTGTTTTTGTCGGTTGTGAATATTCTGTATATTATCTATTGAGTTATTTATAGTAATAAATTATGAAACTATTTATATATATATATGAAGTCTTTTCTGGTCTCGTCTCTATATCGGTAAAGTACATAATAAGCGTTACAGTACAAGAGAATTACTTTAATTCACTGATCGATTAATCATTAAATCGATACAATTAATTAATTAATTAATTTGAAAGAAAATACAAATGACATATTGAGATGTGTCAAGCTGATACCACGAAAATATATTAAACACCATTAAAACTTTGTCAACTTTCATTAATCAACGTTAGAAAATGATGGAAAGATTCTTTAAGTTGATTATAAATAATTGCAAAAGATTAAATTTCGATCTCTTGAATAATCTTTTAAA